GAAACTGAGGTACATATGGGTTCAAAGCTACTTACCTAGAAGTGTACTATTTGCTCTTCTGAGATCACCAAAGGAGAGAAATACAGTGTGTACCAAGGAGAGAATATTAGGCACCAAAATTAGTAAAAACACAGCTTCCTTGCCTAAAATGTGAGGTTGTAATGAGGTCTGGAGTAATAGCATCGCTGAAGAGATAGTATGAACACCAACCTTGATAGGATTTAGGTGGCATAACCTACAGTGTGTTGGGTGGGGGGAGGAGGAGAAAGAGAAAAAGAGAGAGGAGAGAAGGAGGAGAGAGAATAAGAGAGAAGAGAAAGAAAAGAGAAGGGGAGAAGGAGAGAGATCAAGAGAGAGAAGAGAGGAAGAGGAGAGAGAATAAGTGTGTGTATGTGTGTGTGTGTGTGTGTGACGGGGAGAGGGAGATAAGAGAAGGAGAAAGAGAATAAGAGAGAGGAGAAAGGAAAAAGAATAACTGAATATGTGTGTGTGCAGGGGAGATGCTTACATTTTGTGCAAAAGAAGAATATGAGAAACCAAAGAATGAACATTTTAGAATGTAACCAGACAGAAATCATTTTAATTCTAGGACTCTAGAAGTCAGAATTTGCTTTTTCTACTGCAATTCAGTGCATTCTTCTGTACTGCATTTGGCTTCTCCGCTATATTCAAGCTTAGCTAAATCCATCTGGGAAATAAAATTGACACCCCCCCCCCAAAAAAAAACAGTTTATCATTTCATTCAACTTAAAACTACATGTGACCAATTAATTCTGCTGGTCCCTGAATTTTCCCAGTCCTTGCACTTTGTGGTTACTTTTCCAAAATTGTGCCTGCACATCATTCACCCAGAAAACCTATGCCTTCGAGTATTTTTAAGTCTCCTGTCAAAACAACTTGAGCCTTTCCACAATGTGTCATTAGTCCACATTCATGCTGGGTAACCCTCCAGTTTTCAAGGCAGTGAAAAATAGGCTTTGAATTTGCCTCTTGTGTTTCCCAGCTAAAATGGCTAAGAAACATCTTGTCTAGCAGCTGTTGCATGTTTGGGGCTACAGCTGGCCACTTGTGCATCCAGTAGGGAAGTGCATACATTCATTTTGGAAAACTGCCAGTGGGGTGAAAACTGGTGATGCTCTGAAAACCTGGCCTGGGAGGATTTGTCCTACAAGAGCAAAATTTAGCACCCTGGAGGGAACATTTACCTGGTGGTTAAGACTCCCCACATCGGACTTTCTGGGGTCATTTCCCCATTATGGCTTCTGGTTCCTGCTCCCTGCTAATGCAGACCTTGGGAGGCAGTGGCGGTAGCGCAGCTAGTTGGGTTCCTGCCACCTATGTGCAGACCTAGATTGAAGTCCCAGCTCTTGATTTCTGCCTTGGCCCAGCCCTGGCATTTGGAGAATGAAGTAGCAGAGGGAAGCTATCTGTTCTGCTTTCTCTCAAATAGATAAATAAAAATTTTAAAGTAAACAGAATAACAAAAATGATTTGAACGCCTCCTCATCCCATGAATGTTGTTAATAACTGTAGGTCTCTGGAGAGTTGACTTTGAGCTGTTTTCTGGAACTCTGTGTAGGATCATGAACCATGTTGGGAATTATTTCTCTTGCCTACCTATGGTCTTACCATTTCTCTTAAATTCATTTGACTTTTTTTTTTTTATCACAATTTCAGTTTGGCTCAACATCCTATGACAACTTAGATGCTAACTTGTTTAATTGATAAGGAGGAACATGCATTGCATTTCCTCCAAAGGCTGCTTGAGGCTCCTGTGGGAGCATTTCCTGTGTCAGTCCTGTTTCCTTTTTTTGTTTGCTTTTTCACTTAGAGAGAACTGATTTCCTGTATCTCTCATATAGTTTCAAGCACATAATAATGCTTCCCTCCTTCCTTTTTTCTTTTAATTTTTGTGATAACATACTTTTACTTTATAATCATAAACTTAATCCTCCACTAAATAACTAATTCAGAAGTAGAAAATAGAAAGACCACTATCCTGCAGGAATATAGACAAATGCTATAAACAATAATCAAATCTTAAGATGTCAATTTCACTCATATACATTATCCTGATTCCTGGATTCTGGGAAGAGCAGGGTTCACAGGTGCTTCTGGTTTGGGGGAGAATCAGGTTTCTCAGGTGTGGAGTGTTCTTGAGACTGAAGTAGGCAGGAGGAGGAGCCCTTCCCAGAGCTGACCATGAAAAAGTGCATCACAAAGAGGGAAAGGGAGAAGAGTTCCTCCCACTGGGCCATCCCCATTGCCCATGGTGCTGTAGGGTGGGCTTCTGGGTATTTGGGACATCTCAAGCTTCATGAGTGATTAGGAGTTGGAGCTGGGCAGCCAGCATGATTCCCAGTGGGTTGGGTCTGTGCCTCTCAGCCTGATTAACCGCTTTTGGAGACAAGGTGGAGTCATCTTGGATCACAATCAAGGAGCATTCCCCAGTCATTACACTGAGCAGTGTGTGCACACACTGAGTATGCAAGCTCAGCTGGCCCCGGCAGGCCTCCTTCCTGGAGTCATCACTTCTTTGTGCTGTTACGTGACCATCCCAGGGTTGAACACACACAGCCCAGGCTGTCACAGGGTGACAGCATCAGCTGGCATGAGCAGATGTTCAGGTCTGACCCGGAGGTGAGTGTCCACAGAGGCCTTAATTCTTAGTTTAAATAGAAAAAGAAGGCATTCTGTGAGAGGGGAAGTAAATTACGAAGAGAGGTACTCCTGAGGGTAGGTGTGTTGGGTCTCTGCCTTTTTCTTGCATCCTCTTTGCATATCTCTTCCTTGTCATTCCCTCCACATTCAGGTGTTAGCTGTTTACTGGGCAAGCCGAGGCAAATAAATGAGCAATCATTCAATTTTTGCTGTGCAAACCACAAGGCACTGTGGGTGAACTAAGGGGCAAGCTGTAGAGTTAAAAACTTAGGTGGAGTCTCATCAGGTGGTGTCTGTAGCTGAGCCTCAAGACCACCGTAAAAGAGTGGAAAAGGTCTCCAATTCATTGTCTGCCACCAGCCAGCTTGTGTATTCCTGAGCTCTAGCATCTTCATGTGTTGACCACAGAGAGGACTTTATGGGAGCTCTTGTTCTGGAACTCTGGGAGTTTCAAGATGCCTGGCATGGAGTCTCTCTCATGGACCAGGGATATTAACGCTGTAGCTTACCTTTCCCGACCTTAGAGAGATGCATCGTACCTCTGATAGGGGAGGGTCCTTAAAGCTGATTGCTTCACACCTACCTCACCTCCTCCAGAGGAGGACTCAGACAAGTTAAAATTGATCTGACTTCTCATCTCCCATGACTCATGGTTATCCTGAATAACCAGTGATTTTCAAATTTTCTCTTAAGTGCACTGGGAAGCATAGGAGAAATGTCAGTTGAGAACAGTGTTTTCCTGGTTCTGGAGAGGATTTTTAATGACTGAATCTAGGTCCTTCATGGCTGGAAGTTGGCAGAAGAGTAATAGCAAAGCGACATACGGGGGCTGTACTGAACCTGCATCCTTGGTTTCTTTGTCTCCCATAAGTCACCCTAACTCTCTGGAGTCTAAACTCCATTTGAGATGGATTTGACCCTTAGATGCTTGCTCAGTTGCCTCCTGCTACCATCCTGTCACTTCTCCCTGCCTTGCTTCATGTCTGGCTTTGTGCCCCTTTTTAGTTGCTCACTTAGTGTTTACGTATGATGGAGGTGAACTTTGAGCAGTTCTAAGTTGGTTTGAACTAAGTGAGACTCTTGGAGGCACGGGCACAGAGCCTGTCTGGGCTGTGCGACAGCACAGTATGTTTGTGGCTTGGTTCCTCTTGCACCATTGCTTCTCAGCAAAGATTGGAGCCCAAAGCTTTCATGTTTATGGCAAATCCAGTTAGTTTCTAGATGTTTGAACCACAATTAGCTATTTATGAGAATAAGGGCTCAAAAAGTCACCCCCCAGCTGTATATTTCTTTGTCGTCTTTTAATGTCAGACTCATGTTCCTGCTCTCATCCTCTGATAAAAACCAGTCTCCTTTCTTATCCATAAGGCTGTTGAGCTGTCCTGTCCAATACTGCCGTCATTATCCTCCCTTGATTACTACCATTATTTAATGATTGTTTATGGAAATGCCTGTAGCACTTTAGAGCAATTAAGATTCTGATTTAAGAACAGACCTGTCTGTTCCGGAAATGTTCAACTCCAGAGCAGGGGCAGCTTTGGAGGCTCCAAATGTTTTGAACCTGGGAATTGATACCCCCAGCATCTTGGCAGTTGCCCTAAGCTGTCACTCAGCCCAGGGGCAGTGAGTCGCTTGCTTCGGGCTCCTAGCATCCTGGCTTTGAAAGGGCAAGGTAATTGGAGAGCCCACGTCGGAGCCATGGGCCCCACAGACTTCTTTAGCACAATGCGGAGTGAGAGGCTGCTTGTTTTCAAGAAACGAAGCTGATCAGGGTTTGAGGACTCTTGCCTGCTCCGGGAATATGGGGCCATGCTGGGTGAGTGGGTGAGGCAGTGCAATAGCGATCTCTTTAGTCATGCCATCGTAAAATAGACTCCTGAGCAGGCTATTTATTTATTTATTTATAAAAGGGCATCCTCTGTACAGAGCTTGTTACTCATTTTAACCCCAGCCCTGCAGAGCAGTTGAGTACTATGCATGCAGAATTTCTCACAGTGCAAGGCAAGCTGATGAGGGTGCTGCCGTGGAGCTGTCAGCATGGCTGTGGTTGCATCTCCATAAATGATTTGCCAGTTAGTTAATTATCTAAGTCAGGTAAATGGTAAGGTCTCTGAAGTGGTCCTTGTTTCTTTTATACTTCTTGGACATTCCAAATCGTTTTTCCTCATGGGCAGTGAAGGCTCCTGGGATGGGGGTGGTCTGCCTGCCAGCTGGGGTGGAGGAGTTGGTCTAGGAGCCCCAGGGGGCTGTCATGCCTTGGGGGTCTCCTGCTGGACAGCAGGTAGCTCTGGCTTACTTCTCTGTGTGATGGTGTCTTCTCTCTCCCTTTTGCTCCCAAGGATGTTAACACAGGTGAGGGCAGTGAGTTTGCAGACAGTGGGATTGAAGGGGCCACCACCGACACGGACCTCCTGTCCAGGCGCTCCAATGCCACCAACTCCAGCTACTCGCCTCCCACTGGCCGGGCCTTTGTGGGCAGTGACAGCGGCAGCAGCTCCACCGGGGATGCAGCTCGCCAGGGGGTATACGAGAACTTTCGGCGGGAGCTGGAGATGAGCACGGCCAACAGTGAGAGCCTGGAGGAGGCGGGCTCAGCACACAGCGACGAGCAGAGCAGTGGTACCCTGAGCTCTCCGGGCCAATCGGACATCCTGCTGACTGCCGCGCAGGGCACGGTGCGCAAGGCTGGGGCACTGGCCGTCAAGAACTTCCTGGTGCACAAGAAGAATAAGAAGGTGGAGTCGGCCACCCGCCGGAAGTGGAAGCACTACTGGGTGTCACTTAAAGGTGAGGGGGCCCAGCCCGCCTGTGCGTGCACCCCACTCTGAGGATGCACATGCCGGGTTTGCTTTTTGTTGTCATCTGCAGTTATTAATTGCTGTTTTTTTAAAGGTTTAATCTGATGTCTAAACCATCATGTTTATGAAAGTCAGTTACTATTTTATAATCAAACTGTTAGAGAATATGGGTATGTGTGATACCTACGATAATGTATATATCCCTGTACTTTTATTTGAATAACATTTTTGCATGTTGGTATTTGTTGTTATTTTGGGTGCATTTGTGAATTATGTGTATGTAGCATAGACATTGTAATAATTATAACATTTTTGTGAGCTCTGTGTTTAAAAAAAAGCTTCTCAGACATACTTAAGAGTTTTTAATCACCAGCTAGATTTGAAACAGGGTTAGCCTGTGGCAAGGGAGGTTAATAAGATGTAGAAGGGCTCAGGAGGAAACAGCCTGGGCTTGCCAGCTTAGTGCATACACTGCACCATTTTATCCTGATTTTGTCTACTGTGGTTGGCGTGGGAACATTCACTGCATACACGGAGCAAGGTGGGGAACATGTTCCCTGAGCAAGGATGTGCCTGCTGACCCACAGACAAAGTTGGAGGCAGCGGGCAGGGTGTGTGTGTGTATTCCTACAGGTGCCAGCTGTTGCTACCATGGTTAGGACATAGGTTTTGCTGCATGTCACAGAGACCTGCAATGACAGTGCCAGAACACACACAGATTCTTACTTCCCTGCCACCTGTCAGGAGTGGACCATCTGAGGCTTGTCTGGTAGCTCTTTCCTATGAAGTTACCCAGGGACCTCAGCTCCATCCTTCTGTTCGCTGTACTCTTCCTGGAACATTGTCTTTTGATGGCTTGGTGTGGTGGTCCTGCCTGTGACACACAGATATCCATCTCATGGGAGCACCTTAGGGAACTGATGCTGTACTTTCTTATGTGTGGCCTGCCGTGGCTTCCTCTGGGGGAGGCACTCCAGGGCCATGTCTGAGGGACCAGGATCATGCCAGCTGCTCTGCCGTGGTATGGGTGGGTGAGATGAGGGAAAGGGCTCTTCCTTTTCTACCTGCCAGTCCCCCTCCTTGATGTGCACAGCATAGGGCACTGTCCCTCTGTTCCTTCAGCAGCCTGTTTTATCATTCATTTTATTAGTGCTCAGTTCTTTTCAACAGCCTGATCCAAAGACTACTTGCATCACAGACACCTGAGGTACTATTGGGTTGTACCCCATACCTGTTGAATCAGAAGTTTGGAATTTGCATCTGTTTGCCAGGGCTGCCATAGCCAAACACCACAGACTGGTGTAAACAACAGAAACATTTACGTCCCAGTCCTGGAGGCTGCAGATTGAAGATCACGGTGTCAGTGGGGTTGGTTTCCTCTGGGTCCTCTCTCCTTGACCTGGAGATGATGTATTCCCCTGGTATCTTCACATGATCTACCACCTGATCTACCCAAGTCCAGATCCCTCGTCACTTAAGGGCACCATCATCATACTGGGTTAGAGCCTGTGTCATTCTTAGGAATGGAACCACATTCTTAGGTCATAGAGGTTAGGATTTCAATATAGGAGTTTGGGAGCACACGGTCCCACTGTCACAGGCTCTGAATTCATGGTTTAAACAAGCCGTCCAGGTGATTCTTGCTCAGAATTTGAGAAGAGCAGTGTTAATGGCATAGAATAAAAATAAGTAGCCAACTTTCTGACTTGGGACATAGCGGAAGGGGTTGTTTTATTTCTGCCTTTCCCTTAGAGAATAATGACACAGGAAGCCAGGGTGCAGGTGTGTGGGAGCACACAGCCTACGAACCCATTAGGGGAGGGAGCCTTCACTTTCTTGGTGACCCAGATCTGGGTGACACAATCTGTCAAGATCTAGGCCCAGAACACAGAGCCACTGAACCCTTTGCTTCTGAGTCCTGATGGGTATCCCATTATTCACTGACATCTTGAGCTTTGTCAGTGCCACTCAAAAAGCAAAGCTTGCTGCTGGCTTTTTCTTAGCAGCCCTTGTATATTGAGAAATAAAAAGCAAAGCACCTGGAAACTGTGGCATAGAAATTTACCCTCAGAGACTATTTCATATTAAGCAAAATGATTAATTTAAAAAAAGATTTTGTCTAGAATTAGTCTCTGGAGCATCTCCACGGACAGCTAGAGAACAAACAGACCATGTTCCAATGGAAATTAAAGTCAACAGTTTTTACCAGGGAGTGTGTGGTCTCTGGACTTCTCATGAATCTTAAAATTGGAACAGATTGGTAATTGAGTAAAAGCTGATCTCAATTGCCTACTGTTGAGAATGATTCTAAACCAAAATTAAAAAATTATGAAAACCTATTTGGGAAGACTTGACATTTTTCAGTATGTACATATACCAAGACTTGGGGATGTCTCCTAATCCATTATCCAGACTTGTTTCTCTATTCTCACTCATAGTAATAATGGTAAAAATCTACTGATCATTGTTGAAAAATTTTTTTTTTTGAGCAATATTTCTCACCAGTGGCAGTATTGACATTTTGCAGATAATTCTTTACTATCCTGGGCATTGGTTCCCTGACCTTTGCCCATTCAATTCCAGTAGCACACTTCTCCCTTACAAGTTGTAGTACCCAGTAGTGTCTCCAATCAGCATCAGTTTGCCTTCCCATGAGAACCTCTGATGTGGAGGAAAATAATCTCCCTTGGGCATTTTTGTTTGTGTCTCTCATCTTTAGCTACTGGAACGCATGAGACTAGGAAGTACAGATGATTGTGCGGCTTGGTTACTGAAAACCCTTGCCACAAACCTGCTGAAAGTATTACTGAAAACCCTGGAGATCTTGAAAATCATAAAGATTATGGGAAAAAGCATTGGGGAAGACTACTTAATATGTATATAAATTATTTGTATGCAAGTCTTAAACCCAAACTTAAAGTCAGTAACACTAAATTCTATTAACATTTTTAAGCCAGAAGCAATGTGAAACTATTTTTAAAGATTTATCTATTTGAAAGGCAAAGTTACAGGGAGAAAAGGAGAGATAGAGAAAGAGATCTTCCATGCTCTGGTTCACTCCCCAGATGGCTGCAATGGCTGAAGCCAAAAGCCAGGAGCCTGGCCTGGAACTCCATCTGGGTCTTTCACTTGGATGACAGGCATCTAAGCCTTGGGCTATCTTCTGCTGCTTTCCCGATTGGGTTAACAGGGAGGTAGATTTGAAGTGAAGCAGCCAGGACTAGAACCAGCACTCATATGGATGCTGGTGTTGCAGGCGGTGGTTTAACCACTGCACCACAATGTGAACCCCAAGAAATGATCTTTAAAAATACACGAGCAGGCCGGTGCCACGGCTCACTAGGCTAATCCTCCGCCTAGTGGCACTGGCACACCGGGTTCTAGTCCCGGTCGGGGCACCGGATTCTGTCCCAGTTGCCCCTCTTCCAGGCCAGCTCTCTGCTGTGGCCAGGGAAGGCAGTGGAGGATGGCCCAAGTGCTTGGGCCCTGTACCCCATGGGAGACCAGGATAAGTACCTGGCTCCTGCCATCGGATCAGCGTGGTGCACTGGCTGCAGCGCGCCGGCCGCGGTGGCCATTGGAGGGTGAACCAACGGCAAAGGAAGACCTTTCTCTCTGTCTCTCTCTCTCACTGTCCACTCTGCCTGTCAAAACAAAAAACAAACAAAAAAAAAAAAACAAAAAAATACATGAGCATAAGATTTTTAGAAAAGAAGCTAATGTAATTGAGAATAGAAAGGATAACTGAGAGACCTGAATTATGAAGAAAAGGACGAGTATGCAGTCAGAAAGCATAAGGACACCGTGCAGTAAGGACTTTGAAGTGGAGCCCTTGGTCAAACTGTGCCAAGGGAGAAATGTGAAATGCATGGGTAATGCGTACCATTCAACTGTGCTTAGGAATGTTGCATGCAACAGCTGTTACATGGTAATGTGAAATATTATGGGCTAGGAAAAATTGCCTCTGAACCAATGTGACTTTTCCATCGATCTACATCGTTGTACATTACTAATTACAGATGAGCAAATTTGCTTTACAGGCTCACATTGTAGCTGAATAGATTGTACTTTCAAGGGCATTGCAGTTTTCCTAAAACTTGGCACTTGCTTGTGGTAAGGAAGATGCTGAAAACTGACTAAGTAGCTTATGTTGAAGTTGAGCAAGAGTCATAAAGTTGTACGCAGGCTTCTCCAGAAATTGGTTTTAATTAGTTGAGAAGAAACCTTCAGCTGGTAATTGCTATTAAAGGGAGCCCCAAGTTTAGGCAATGATGGATGGTATCTATTCAAGCTACCTTGCCACAAACCTATGAAATATCTCTGTTACCACTCTCTCACTGATTTCATAGTGTAATTCATTATGGACCAGAACTGCAGCTTCCAAGGACATGATTTACTTTAAAGAAGATTTTATAGATAAGATCTGAAATCAAAAGGTTATCATTGATTCCTTATCTTGAAAGCTCCTAAAGCTAGTATTATCTATTGTTTTCTCCATGAGTGTGACCCTCACATTCATACATTCTCTACAGTTTTCTGGTTACACATCATGTGAGACATTTGGGAGTTGACTCCAATGGGAATAGTGATGACTGCAGTCCTCTCGTTGTGCTGGATATACATCTGGCTTGTAGAACCATGTTTGCAGTCACCACTGGACAGAAGATCCACAGATCCCTCTATGCCTGTGAGGAAAATTAAAACATTCTCATGCAGAAACTAGAGGCTTAAAGCACTTGAAAGCAAATGTAAAGCAGTCCCATGCTGATTTAGAATCTGCTTTTCTCTAGGCCCATCTAAAACTGGACTACAGGCAAAGAATCCGTGACTTTACTTCCTGGATTCCACAGCTTTAATTTCCAGGCCCTTCCTGCTGACATGGCGTAGGTATTGGTTTCCATGCTAAAGCACCCAGCACTCACGCAGACCCGTTGTTTCCTCAGGGTGCACGCTCTTTTTCTACGAGAGTGACGGCAGATCTGGAATAGACCACAACAGCATCCCCAAGCATGCCGTGTGGGTGGAGAACAGCATTGTGCAGGCTGTGCCTGAGCACCCCAAGAAGGACTTTGTCTTCTGCCTCAGCAACTCCTTGGGTGATGCCTTCCTGTTCCAGGTTGGTTGGCCACTTCCTTTGCAGGGCGTCTCAAACCTCTCCTGTTGCCTGTGTACCCTTCTTTCTTTTTCTGTCCGTGATGGATTATCTGTTGTTGCTCATTATAGAAACTAATATGGTAATGAATGGCAAAATAAGCATCTGTACTGAATTTCAGTGATGAGAGACCTCACCCAGTCTCAAAGTAAAGTTTGAATTGGTTATATTTAAGAAACTAGCTCTGATTGCCATGGTTAATGCATAAAGGATTCTTCTTCTTCTTCTTCTTCTTTTTTTTTTTTTGGCATAACTTCAGTATTATTTGTGTAGCACTTTAGAAAGATCATGAATTCCTTAATTTAGACATGATTTGAGCTGTCAAAAATTTTAAAATAATACCTTTTCTTCTAATATTAATCATAAAGTAAAATGATGACATTCCAGAAATGACTGACTGTGCCTGAACAGTTTCTCTTCCTCATCTTATCAAACCTTCTATCTGATGTTTTTTGATGTTTGGCTGTTAATTACAAAAGAAAAGAAAAGAAACAATCCAAACACACTGCCCTGCTAATTGTTTCAGGATTAACATTTCCTTGCAGAAATTTGAGCTTGGTCATTTGTAATACACTGTGCAAGCATTTTCTGTGGTATTTAGGAAGGCTTTCTTCATTTATACCTTTAAAGGAATTAATTCCCTCAGCCTGTATTCCCTGCTTCCTCAGTGCTCTGAGAATACCAGGAAGGTGCCAGCATTAAGATTCTATGGGTTAAGCTGCTCCTTCTGATGCCAGTGTCCCATATTGGAGTGCTAGTTCCAGCCCTGCACCTGGCTTCAGCCTGACACAGCTTGGGCTGTTGCTGCCATTTGGGGAGTGACACAGTGGATGAAAGATATCTCTCTATCACTCTGCCTTCCCAATAAATAAATATATTTATTTCTTTTTTTTTTTTTAAAGATTTATTTTATTTATTTGAAAGACAGAGTTATAGAGAGAGGTAGAGACAGAAAGAGAGGTCTTCTATCCGCTGGTTCACTCCCCAGATGGCCGCAATGGCCGGAGCTGCACCAATCCGAAGTCAGGAGCCAGGAGCCTCTTCCGGGTCTTCCACCTGGGCGCAGAGGCCCAAGCACTTGGACCATTTTCTATTGCTATCCTAGGCCATAACAGAGAGCTGGATGGGAAGAGGAGCAGCCAGGACTAGAACCGTTGCCCATATGGGATGCCTGCGCTTCAGGCCAGGGCTTTAACACACTGTGCCACAGCACCAGCCCCATCTTTTTCTTTTTTAAAAAAAAGAATATCAAGAAGATTTTGACATGGTTCCTGCCTTTCAAGTGTTCACATGTAATAGGAAAGACAGAAGAACATATCTTTATAATGTGGCAAGGCCAAATGGTGAATATTAAAGCAAGAACAGGGATAAATGAAATGACAGTAGGGTTAGACCATGCAAGAGAGCTAGAACAAAGATATGATGAAAAAAAAATACTCTATTTCACTGTTTTTGGTTGTAGCTCCTAAAGTTACTTTTATTTGGGCAATTAAAGTAAGGAATATAAAGAGGTCATTTTATTTGTATAAAGGCGGTAAGTCTGTTTTTTTTTTTCCCCCAAATCTATGATGTGAAACACATGGAAAACAGAGTTCAGAAAACACAGATGTGCTGCTCAGTGAAATATCAAAGTAAATGGGTAGTTACTACTCATTGCAAGGAATAAACATTGTAGATAGCCTGCATGCTGTCTCCCACCAACAAATTCATATAACTTGAACAGAGTGTATGTCTTACACTCAAGTCAGTATACCACTGTTTATCTAGGAATAATTTAATTTCTCCTTCCTTAAATTAAAAAAAAAATTTCTGTGAGAGTGAAAGAATTCCCACTGGTTCACCCCAGAGGCATGTAATAACAAGGGCCAAGACTGGGAGTCAGGAACTCAATCTACGTCTTCAATAACAGGAACCCAGTTATGTGAGCCAAGGAAGCTGAAATCAGGAACTGAAGCCAAGAATGGAACCCAGGTACTCTGATATGGGACATAGGCATCTTACCTTGTGTCTTGACCACTAGGCTAAGTCATTGCTACTCTACTTCATTTTTGAAGTAGTTTTGCTGGATATAAAATTTTTATCAACAACTTTATTTCAGTGCTTTGAAAATGTTACCTCACTGTCTTCTGCTCTCCATAGTTTTAATGAAAAACCAGCTGTTAAATCTGTTAAAGTTTCCTTGTATATGAGAAGTTGCTTCTTCCCTGCTGCTTTGAAGAATTCTTCTTTGTCTTTAAATAGTTTGTTATATGTCTAGTACCAGTCCCATTGAGTTTACTCTCCTTGTGAATGGGTATGTGTGTGTGTGTGTGTGAGAGAGAGAGAGAGAGAGAGAGAGAGAGTGTGTGAGTTTAAATTATAGTTGGAAAATTTTCAGATATTTCTTCAGTCTTCCTATACGTTTCTATCTTTGTTCTGTGACTCCTATTAGGATTACAGTAGTGTGTTGGATGGTGTCCCACGGGTTTCTGAGACTCTGTTTATTCCCTGCTCCCTTTGTTGTTGTGTTTCTTAGACTGGGTAATCTTTTTTTTTAAACTAAATATTGTATTGTATACAACTGTGAAATATGTATTTTTATCTTCTTGGCATGGCAGACTGTCAGATTTTCTGGAAATGGTATTATTGGTTTGACTGGTGTGACAAAAAACAGTACACAGTTATACTGGGGATCAGATCTATGATGGAGGGAGCATAGCCACCCCAGGCTCAGACTGGATAATCTTAATGGTTCTACTTCAGGTTCATTGATTCTTTTTTCAGACAGCTCAGTTCTGCTGTTGAGCCCTTCTGGTTATCCTACATTTCAACTCGAGTTCTTTCTTTTTTAAACAAAAATTCTTTTTCTTTATTGATACTCTCTATTTGGTGATATATCATTCTTACACTTTTTTAAGATATGGTTTCCTTAGGTTCTTTGAATATATTGAAGATAGTTAATTTAAATCCTTGTCTAGCATACTTAGCATCTGGGCTTCCTCAGAGTTTTATTGATAGCTTCCTCTCCTCTGTATGGACCAGATGCTATTGTTTCTTTGTATGGCTCATATTTTTGGTTGAACACTGAATGACATGTGCCAACTCTAGAAAGGGGATCATCCAGGGTTTATTATTGTTGTTGAATATTCTTCCTGGTAGTGCTTCTTTGTTTGGTGTATTTCCTGAACTTTGTAAAATATTTATGGTTTGTCATGTGTGGCCACTGATGTCTCTGTTTCTAGTTTCTTAGATCAACTAATGATTTGACAGAGAATTCTTTAAACATCTAGAAGCAGTTAAGTCTCCCAGTCTTTCTCAAGAACAGAAGTGTTTATGGTAAAGCACATTCTCAAAGCTCAGGCATTTCAACTCTACTTTAAGTTTCCCCTCAGCTTTCACAGAGCCTTATGGTCAATCAGAGGGTGAGCTTAGTGCCTTCTTGGGGCCTTTTGGCCATGTCTTGATGTGTATGAATTTCCAGATTCCCAGGAATATGTCAAAGAGTTTTTTACAGCTCCCAGTGGAAATGGTATCCCCCAGATTTTCTTCAAGTTTCTTGGTCATTCTTATTTGGTCTACTTGCATCACTGGCCTAGGTAGCTGTGATATTTAACAGTTGTTGCTGATTGTTTCTCATACATAGCACAGGAAGAGTAAAGACCATTTTCATGAGTGAGGTCTGGGTCAGGTTAAATAGCCGTGACCAGCCTGTGAAATGGGCTTCTAAGGGTCTGGTAGACAGACTGAGTAGATAATGACAGTTCTCGGAGAATGGTGTTTTAGAGGTGCTCCAAACCTATTCTGTCCCCTCCAGTAGTTGGTAGGTGGCTGGTTTTTATATGGGTATGGAAATGGAGAGAAGGAGAGGTGAATAAGGGAAGTTAAAATGTTATGAAACTTTCTGTTCTTAACTGATTCAGCCATTTGATTTTACTAAATAATCCCCAAATTGCTGCAAGATTTAATTTTCATAATGCTAAAAAGTTGATTTTGACCATTTTGGCATGTTCTTACTGCTTTTACAGAGGAATGTGTTTTGAAGGTTTTTACTTCTCAATGGACACTGATGCTTTCACAAGGATACTGTAGACTTTTAGAACAGTTATGTCAGGATGACAAGTATGATTGTAACAGCCCCAAGCCAGCTGGGACACATGGCGACCTTTCTGTAGGTACGTTTGGTTGCTCCCAGGTTTGGGGGACCATGGGCAGTGTTGCTACGAGAACACTTGTACCTATTCTCAGGATACTTTTTTCTGCGTTTCTGTTGGACATATACTTAGGAATGGCATTGCTGCGTTGTGGGATAGGTTCAAGTTCAACTTTACTAGATACTTCCAAGCAGTTTCCAAAATGATTAAAATAATTTACACTTCCATTAGCAGTCTCAGAGAATTTCACTTGTTCCTTGTCCTTGATAATGCTTGTTCCTGTTGGTTTTTTTCCCCCTCTTAACTTATTAGTGTGAAGTTGAGCACATTTTCACGTGTTTAATGGCTGTTCTAATGTCATCCACTTCAGTGAAGTGTTCATTTCTTTCTCCTGCTCATTTTCTGTTGGGCTTTCTCCCTTAATGACTTCTAGTAGTTTTTATGTATTTTGTAGATTATCTCTCATTTTATTATATTCATTGAAGATTTTTTTTACAGTCTATGTCTTGCTTTTTCGCTCTCTTAAAGGTGACCTTTGTTGCAGTCGAACTTTTAATGTAGTCTAATTTCTCAAGTCCTCCTTAGGAGGCAGTGCTCTGTATATCCTGTTTTTAAGATATGAGGGTACTATAGAAAGTTCATAGGAAAATAGAATTAAAATATAAATGTATTGTGATGCAAAATTTTTTGAAATATTCAATATGAAGTATCTTCAAGCAGTTCATGGAAAATGCATATTTTGAAAACACTGCATGCATTTCAAACATTTTTTATACCAAAATAGAAGTACCTTTTAATTCCACTTTTCCATTAACTTTTCAAAGTCCTTTTGTA